TTTATATCCATGCTCAGATGCCAAGGAGCTCAGAAAGTAACTGCGACTGACTAGTAATAATTAGATATATAGAGATTAAAAACACATGTGCATCTTAGAGTCAATCGCATTAAAAATGAATTTTTCTGTATGAAACTGTATATTATAATAATGAAATGGAGATCTTTTTTAAAGGTTAAAACCTCACTTAATTTTATGTCTTAAAGGGTTTATACTGAGTACAATATTGTATAACTGTATTAGTTTAACTGTAAACCTAAAAATTTACAGCCAGTATTGAAACAGATGCATCTTACCTCTGGAAATTGTTATTGAATATGTCAATGCTGTTGTCATGAAATGCTTCTTCTAATTATATGAACTCTTAAGAGATAAAAATCACTCCAATTCAATGATTCCTAGCAATCTTGGGAACAGGATTAAGGACCAAGAGACGGACAGGAGCGATGATGTAAGAAGGGCACAGACACCCCAGTGCAGAAAGGAGAAAACCATGTTTACCTAGCTGCACTTCATCAGTGTTACTAACAACAGGTATTAAATGTGATTTTTTTTTTTTTTTTTTTTTTAGTTTTTTTGGGACAGGATCTCCCTGTAGCCCCAGCTGTCCTGGAACTCACTATGTACACCAGGCTGGCTGGGAACTCACAGAGATCCGCCTGCCTCTGCCTCCCAAATGCTGGGATTAAAGGCGTGCGCCACCACGCCCAGCTAAACGTGATTTTTAAATTAAATATATTTAAATTTTACTATACTATTTAAAAGATACCTATATATAGTTTGAATGTAATTATCAATAATTGTTTAGTACATATTTAAATATGTAATTTAAAAGGTTTTTTTTGAGTCAGTGAGCTAGCTTGGCAGGTAAGGATGCTTAAACCAAGCCTGATGACCTGAGTTCAATCCCCATGACCTACATGGTATAGAAAACCAACTTCCTCAAGTTGTTCTCTGTCTTCTACACAAGTGTAATGGCATGTGTGGGTGCACACACGTGCATCCGCACACACAGACATACAAATAAATTTTTCTTTTTTAATTAAAAATATATTCTAAATTTCCAGGCCTAGTGGCACACACCTTTAATCCCAACACTAGGGAGGCAATGGCAGGCAGATCTCTGTAAGTTCAAGGCCGGTCTCATCTGCAGAGTAGCTAGGGCTAAACGCAGACCCCGTCTCTCTCTCTCTCTATATATATATGTATATATATATATTTTTTTAAATTAGCAGTTTTACTAGAGAAATGTATTGCTATATTTCTACAGATAATGAAATTTATAGCTATTTAAAAGAGATAAGAGATTCTTTAGACTCACCTATTATGCAAAGATAATCATACTCTCTGCACATTCAGGTAATATATACATTTATATAAAACTATAATTGGTGAAAATCTTTGCAATTATGCCCCAAATGTATAATATTGCCCGCTTACTGCTACAAAAACAATTATATAACATAACATGTGCAAATCAATACTGTTTATCAATATTCAGTTTAGATACCAAGTAAATGAAATTATTTACTTTCATTTTCAGAATAAATGAAATTTAAACTGCAGTTTAATGGCAGTATTGTGCAACATTAGCTAAGGCTACCCTACATGTCTCTAGAAGGGAAAGAGAGTCAATAGAAACTATCAGAAACAAGGCACTACATTTTCACAGTATCAGGTCTCCTTTATTCACCAACTGAAAATAAGATTACTATACTTTAAATATATACTCACTCTTCCGGCTCCATCCATAGCAAGAACGCAGATTTTCTGACCCCCATTTTCTTTCAAATGTTCAGGATCGACTTTGTATTCCATACAACCCCCAGATACAAGAACCTTTTCCAAGTTCAGTTGTCTAGGTTAAAAAAAAAAAATTAATGTTCTCCAAAACACACACACTTAACTTTGTAGAAACGTCTATGCAAACAATAATCAGTAGGGATTATTATGAAAGGCAAACCAAAAAGATTCAGTCTCCACTGGCCCCAGTGCCTCCTGTATAATCATTTCTCCCTATGGTAAGCCTCTTCTTTCAAAGCCTCACTCAGACCTCACTAAAACCCACTTGCTAACGTGCACATTCATGTGGAATCTGAATCACTGGGAAGGCTATCAGCTACTGAGAGGATCTGTATCTTTTTCGTTATTATTATATGTGTTTGAGTATATTGCCTGCATGTATGTAAGTGTGCAAGTACACCCGTGTCATGCAATGCCTGTGAAAGTCAGGAGGCTTCAGATGCCCTGGAACTGGAGTTATGGATGGTTGTTAGCTGCCATGTGGGTGTTGGAATTCCAACCTGGGTCCTCTGCAAGAGCAGCCAGTGCTATTAACTGATGAGCCATCTCTCCAGCCCAAGGATCCGTATCTTAATAGAATAATGATTAAACTTCAAAATGAAATAGAATGCTTACCTTCAGACATGGTCAGTCCTAAGTAGATATACCTAACCATGAAAGCCATCATCACTGGCCACATATTTCCCGTTATGTGTATCTGATATGCAGAACACAGTGCGAAACCTCCATGCTGCTACCTCATTACCGTCCCCCCTTTCAGAAAGTTGACCTGCATTCAAGAAAAAAAATTCTTTTCAAGATTACCTTGGGGGCTAGAGAGATGTCTCAGAGGTTAAAAGCACCGGCTAGAGTCTTGCAGAGGATTTAGGTTTGGTTCTCAGCACTACATGGCAGCTAAGAACTGTCTGTAACTCCAGTTCCAGGGGATCTGATGCCCTCTTCTGCCCTCAACATGTATTGCACACACAGGCATGCTTACATACATGTAGTAAAAACACTCATACATGTAACAAAAGATTACAATGCAATGATTTATTCTATAGAAAAAGAATTTTCTTAGTTCCAACTTGGATATAACATATATTTATATAGCTTAATGTGTTCAGAAGTTTTATGTTTATAAATGTTACCTAAAAATATAACCTAATACCTCACAAGTCAACTCACACCTAACTAATTAGTTCTAAGAAACATGTTCACTCATTTTTATGATTCTATACCTAAAATACAACCTATAATTAATGTCATACAGAGAAAAGAAATTATGACAAACTGTTGTTGACATTTGTTACTCAGATAACTTCCTGGTTAGCATCTATTTATGAAATTAGTTACCATCTCTTTTATACATGAGCTAGAGCATACTTCGTTGCTTTTCGGTTTAAATCTCCAATTGTTTTGTAAGTTAGGCAGCCGTTTGTACTAGCTGAGCTATACTCTTCCAGGAATCAGTTATATTTGTGGGAAGACTCATTCCCATGCTTGTCTTTAACACTCTAATGACATGTTACCCAATTTAATGAAGTATTAGTCTAAAAAGGAAAAAAAATCTTCTGAAAAGCTAGATACTTCTTAGGAGAGATTAAGAAAATATCCTGCTCTCAAATCAGACATGGACTCGGCAACGGCTGAAAGACTGAAATGTGTTAGACACACAGGATTACTCCCCAGTTACTTTCCAGCACTTGCTCCTTCTAGCACTCTAAAAGAAATCACAGGAGAAACATTCCGAGTGTTGTATAAGTCAGACAGGGAGCTGCAGTGGGCACACCAGCCGTGCTTACGTTGTTCCTGTGCTTTCTTTGCCTAGTTTACCACATGCTACATAACCACAGGCTACACTGCCCAAGGTTAAAAAGGACACCAGTTAGCTGTGAAGGCTGAGCCCTGATAGAAGGTTTGTAGTAAACAACTGTTTTTAAGCATGTAAGATATAAAAGTCTACAGATGAAGCAGCGATAATGTTAAGCATTCCTGATTTTTCCCTCAATTCCATCTTTTCACTTACATTTACAAAGCACAGCATAATGCTAGCTCTCAGTTATCTGCTGGAAAAGCTAAATTCTAATCAGATATATGTTCTTTTTCAGAAATAGACATAGACATACTTAGATGCTATCTTCTTGCACTGATAGTCTGCAAGTAAGTATATATCTCCTCTTGTGGTAACACAGACTGTGGCACCATCACTTGCAGCAACCAAAGACAGAGCAACATCCTTATGATGAAGGGCAGAGACCTGGCGAGGAGCTATGACACACTTTTCTCCATTGGGATCCAGTAAGTAACCTAAAAAAATTACACAATTAAGTAAAGCATAAAATATCTGTGCTACAGTCTCAATCTGTTTCAAATCCTGCCATGAAAGCTTTCATACCCAGCTGTCCACCATTCAGGCCCATAGTGTAAACGGCATCTCGAGTCCACAGAACTGTGTGAAACCTGCCTGCTGCTACTCCAATGACAGTTCTTCCTTTCAGGTACTTTGCCTGCATCTGTAAAAGTGACAAGTAAGACTTTAGTTTACTACACTATAGCTTAGAACATTTCTTTCAGAGATGCAAAACCAGGGGTTATGAGTGTTCTGACACACTTATTGCTGCTACCTTCTCAAGTGCCAGTGTTGGTCACTGTTGAGATCTCACCACTCAGACTGAGATCCAAATCCTCAGAGCACAACACACTCATGCTGCCACTTTCGGTCATCAGTTTTAGCAAAGAAAACTAGCATAGTATGAAAACTAAATCATTTAAATTTTGGCAGTAAGAAGCAATATGCAAAGCAGTCATTCTTAGAAAATACAGTAATTTTTATCTGACATATCCAGGGTCTCACAATGGTAGTACTGTGGATATTTGGGACCAGTAGATTTTCTCCCATGAGGTACTGTCTTATGCATACCCAGAATCTATCCAATAGCTAGCTGTCTGAAGCATCACCATTCCACTCCTGCTGAAGAATCCAGAAATGTCTCCAGACACTGCCAAGTGGCCTCTGGGAAGCAAAGCTTTCCACTCGAGAAGACTACATATGCCCCCATCAACTCAGGGCTCTAATGTAGTCATATAACGCCAATAGAAGAGGAATGAAATCAATTTGTCATTCCTGGAACTCCACAAAACTACCCACATACTGCATAGTAGGTTAGAGAACACAGATCTTTCTGGAGGTATCAGATTGAAGACTACCCCCAAATATTCTGGAATACTCCTCTGATCCATGAGTGATCCTGAAGAGGATAGCAGATTTAAATACTTCATTAAAAATGTCAACTCAATAGTAATTATATAGAGAATTAAACCAAAGAGGAATGTAAGATCTAGCATGTCAAATGCTGTACACTGAAAATGTTTACGCTGGGTGATGATTCTCCTAACATCGCCTTAGAGCACCACTGCCAACTCCATGAACAAGGCTCCTGAGTGTGAGGAAAGGGCACCTTCTGATGGTGGTTATGTTCAAGAGGGGTGGGGAGAAGAGTGGGCTCCAGAACCACTGCCTCATAACACCAAGCGAGATCTGAGTAGACAGTTAATGAAGCAGGGAAAACACGTTTCTTGGTGTCTCACTTGTACAGGTGAGTATATATTAACAGACTTCTCTTTTTTTTTTAAGGAAAATAAATTTTTTTTTTTAAAGTTTCAAATTCTAGGTGGGTATGAAATATTTGTGGGAGGTCCTGACTTCTATCTTCAACACCAAAAAGGGAGGGGGGGAAGGAGGAAGGGAGGGAAGGAGGGAGGGAGGGAAGGAGGGAGGGAAGGAGGGAGGGAGGGAAGGAGGGAGGGAGGGTAGAGGGAGGAGAAATGGTAATATACTGGGAAGGAAGGGAAGGAAATAATAAAATTAGGGTTTGCTCTCCTTATGGAAAAAATCTAGAGTAATCTAGTAGCTAATCTCCCAAGTACCTAACTTCTCATGTGATCTGCGGTATTTTTTCTTACTCCAAACAAATGTTAATTTGTACTGAGTATTTTCTTCTGAAAAAAAGATACACATAACTAAATACTGCTACTCTGTTAATAAGTTATACCTTTTGGAACACACAAATTTTAGAGCAAATAGTCACCTCATTGTTTACAAAAAGAAGTTTACCTGTCTGGGTACATTACAACTGGAAGGAGGAGGAGTAATTCCTAATTGGTGAAAAGTATTGAGACCAAAGGTATAAACACATCCATCTTCAGTTAATACAACAGTGTGATCCTTAGCAGCTGCCACCTGGGAACAGTTATGACCACTCAGTCCTTCCACAAGTCTGGGAACCTATGAAATGACATTAACTTTATATTACAATGAATTATAGGTCATTAGCCTCTTCAACCACTTATATAAAAATGCAAATAGTCTGATGACACTACATCCAAAACAGCATGACTGAAGTGTGATTGCATCGACCAGAGATGAACACCACAGTTCATTAAAGGGCAGAGAAGGTGATCAAAGCAGTTCATGGCTTATAAGCAAAAATGATACAATCCCAGTAAGAAACATTAATAAAACAAATGATTTAATTTTAAAGTTTGTGTATATGCATGAATGCACACCTGCCATGGTGTGAGTATGTGGAGGTTAGAGGACAACTTGTAGGAACTGGTTCTCTCCTTCCACCACGTAGGTCCCAGGATCATCAAGCTCAGGCACAAGTACATTTACCTCCCGAGTCGTCTCCTCTGCCCTCACATGATAAAGCCCTTACTGTATTCCAAATGCAAATAATTCAGTTGACATAAATAAAGGAAAAAGGGAGCTAATTAAAGTATTAAACAGTATTCTGATGGGGAAGAGAAATATGGCTTTCCTTCAGGGAGTAACCAAACATACAATATAAGTTAAAGTCCCTTATCCCTGGCTCAAATCTCACTTCAGTCATTTACCAGCTAATTTGATTTCAATCAAATTTTTAACTTTTCTTTACTTCATTTTCCTTAACTGAAAACTAAGCAACCAACAAATGATGGCTTTATTAGTTTATCATTATGCATGAAACCAAGACAGTAATGTTTGCAACTCACGGGCTCTGTGAGGCTCTCTGTAAGGTAATCAGTGCACAAAAGCATAAGCAATAGCTGGACCAATCCATCCTCAAAGATGGAAGCTATTATTGTTCTAGCTTTGTTTCCTTTTAAAAAGACCCTTTAATAGATGACAGATACACTAGAAGTCTTCTAGAAAAAAAAAAAATCCTAAAACAGCCTTTTTAAGGGCACATATTAGACTAGGTTTCTCCAAATTACAATTAAGTTCCAGGGGCATAAAAACTAATTTTGTAATCATATAATAGAAACACTGGCTCACTTTTTTATACCATGTATATTTTAATGAAAAATAAAATTAAAACCTTGAATTCTTCAGGAAAAGCATTTTACAATTAGTTTTCTTTTTATTTCAGTTCTGTATATCTATACACACACACACACACACACACGCACACACACGCGCGCACACACACGTATCCTTTCGTATGTATATACATAAACTTTCCTATTTGCTGTAGGCCAAAGATGTTTCTGAGATACTTTTCACCCTATATCTAAGTCCTTAATTTGAACATTACATACTAAGACACCGATTCCTTAAATCTACTATCAATCTGGTACATTCTTTTCTCCTTACACTTCAGATAAAAAGGAAACTGAAGCTTCCACTTTATCAAGGTTTTACTGTTATTTACTGTGTAATAAAGTTCAATTACCAAGCATGTCTGTTCATCTCCATGGCCTAACCTTCCTCCTGGACCATGCCCACAGGTGTAAACCTGCCCTTTCTGAGACAGAAACACTGAATGAAATTTGCAAAGCACCACCTAAGGGAAAACAAAAGAATTGTATTAAAGTTCACCAAAAATAATCCTTTATTTTTAAAAATACAATATTGTTAATTATACAGGCTGGATAATGAGTGCAGAGGGAGGGATTCATTATATCATTCTCTTTTAAAGTTTTCTAGGATGGAAATAAAAAATATATGCACCTTTTTTTAATATTTTATTTATTATTTTTTATTTTTATGTGTATGAGTGCTTTGTCTACATGTATGTAAGTGCACCTCTGTCATGCAATGCCCATGGAGGTCAGAAGAGGGAGTCAGATACCCTGAAACTGAAGGTGGTACAGATAGTTGTTAGCCGTCATATGGGTGCTGAGAATCAAACTCGGGTCCTTTGTAAGAGCAGTCAGTGCTCTTAACATTGAGCCACCTCTTCAGCCCCAACATGCCTTATTTTAAATTATACCTAAAAATATGTGGAAAACAAGGAATGCAATTAAGTATGAGATTAAATAAAGGAAAATGTTTTCAGTTTTCCATTATAAAAACTGTCGCATGTTTTCCAATTTAATGGAACATCAAGCAGCACAAGTTGAGCTGCATGCAGTATGAGGCATAAAGCTCACCAAACACTGACATGAAATACGGAGAGAAACACCTTTTAGAAATCGCTCGACTAACTCACAATTTGGGAGAAGTTCCGCGTCCTTTCCTATCTTTGGCTTTATCAGAGATCTCCCTAACATTGTTATATGGCCTTAAAGAACTTTACATCTCATTTCAAGCAAGTCTCCCATTCCTTATCCTCATCTGTCCTTCTCCCAACATTGCCTGGCCTGATATACACTCAACATTCACAATCCAGAAGGCAAGCACACTGAGGCAACTGGGCCAGTCGTAGACGCAATCACAGTGCTCCAACAGGAGTCTGAAGCAGGACAGTGCTCACACCACTGTCTACAGGCCATGCTGTTTTCACTGCAGTATTATACCACCCTACCTTTCTACTCTCTAAACGTCCCTTCTCTTTAAGATATAAAAAGATGTGAGAGCCAGGCATGGTGGCACATGGGCAGGGGCAGGCAGATCTCTGTGAGTTCAAGGCCAGCCTGGTCTACATAGTGAGTTCCAGGACCAGCTGGGGCTACAGGACGGCCCTGTCTCAAAAAGACCAAAAAAAAAAAACATAAGTGAGAAAGAAAAATCCTAGAACCATTTCCAGAAAGTCATGGACCTTTAGAACATAAGAAAAAGGTAAGCTGAGGGACAAGCTCTAAATATTTACACATATCCATAGACCATTCAGAGTTCTATAAACACAGTATGCCTGTTGAAGTACCTCAAATATAGTCTAAAAACCAAACCCAAGTTTGTAAAGTTAGAACTTTCAAAAGCCAAAAACTCATTTTATGAGTCAGAAATAACAGACTTTAATTTTATATTCATTACTATTCTACTATTAAACAACCCATGATACCAAGCTTAGCACTTATTTTAAAAACTGAATTTTAATCTAGAAAACGAGGCACAGTTTCTCACCTTAATTCTCTAGGATACATAATATTATCTCTGTCCTATGGTATTTAATTTACTGGGTACTGTACCATAGAATCGGCTCTTCATCCATTGGTGCTTACTAAGCATTCCCATCCTTCTAAGCTGCTACTCAGGAAACATTTCCATCTAGCTTGTTCTTCTCTGAATGAAACTTAAGAGTGCTTCTCTTAGGCCTATTCGTAGAGTTTGCTTTACCCTCATTTTGTAGCAAACGAAAATCCCTTTGATCCTCAATCTCTCGATCTCTTCATAAATAATCCTATATCCTAGCATTAGTGAAACATGGCTTTGTTTTTGAATGTACTGTTCACATTTAATGCCCTAAGTAGGAGGTGCTCTGTTCTCCTGTACCACATGCATCTTAGGACCAGAAGGCAGATTCAGCCTCTAGCTTCAAATGGTGCCACTGCTTCTGCTGGGAAGGTCCCTGCTCCTGAACATCAGAAAATCTAGCTGTGTCACATAATAACTCAGAAAAGGAAAAACATATTTCCAACATCCTAAATCAGTCATCTTGATTAGTCATCAAGAGCTGTTAATGGCTTACCATTTTATACTTGGATCTTAGCCAAAGGGCCAAGAAATGATGGATTAAAAGGAACTTAGAGTGAACAGAGTGTTGGTGGCAATGCTGTTAGTCCCAGCACTACTCAGGAGGCAGAGGCAGGCAGATCTCTCTGAGTTCAAGGCCAGCCTGGTCTACATAGTGAGTTCCAGGACAGCTGGGGCTACAGGGAGACCCTGTCTCAAAAAGACCAAAAAAAAAAAACTCAGAGGACTTACTCAAGCTAAGTAAATTATATACATTTTGTGTGTGTGTGTGTGTGTGTGTGTGTGTGTGTGTGTGTGTGTGCATGTGTATGCGTGTGTGTCCATGTGTATTTTGCCTGCCTAAAGATCTGGACTCCATGGGACAGCACGTGTGTATCTGCCGCTCCTATCCCAGTTGCACCTCCTTCACATGACATTCACTACTGATTCTAACACCAGGCTCATGATTCCCACCCATCCTAAATCTTATCATTATCCTGAGTTTCTCCCAGGTCTATACACATCTCTTGCCAGAATTCTAGCTTGCATAACACCATCATAGTAATTCTCTAGTCACTTTCATTCCTATAACAGCTCCTGTTCCCAGTTTCTCAAAATTTAATATTCTTGACAATTAACTCTTCTATTTCATTTAAAATTTGCTGGTTATAATCCATTAGACTGTGGCTTTCAGTGTGGAAAATTGTAGCCTCTGCAGTATTCTATGGAGACATAATATGGTGTTCATATAATTTATCAATTTATCATCCAAATATATTTGAGTTAAGAGAGAGAAAATTAATAATTACATCAGGACATTCACCATGTTACTCTATTACTAAAAACTTCTAGGCTCCTATATTGGGCCAAAGATAGGCTTATAAATTTCAAAAGTTTTAGAAACTTCAAAACAGAAAAAGGGAAGAAAGCAACTAAAAAGTTACAAGAAATAGGACCTGACGTGGTAGTTTAGAAGAACTGGAAAAGGCCTTACATTCTCAGCCATTGAATCTGGATTTACCTAAAAGTGAATCAGCAGGTAAAGACCTAATTAGCTTTGTTTTTAGAGGCAATAATTCTCGAGACGATGACAAGAGCTAAAATGAGTATTAACAAGGAATAGAAGATTGCTAAGGAGTCAGGTTAAGACACTGCTGTCATCATTCCATGAAGAGCTTGAAGAGGCTTGGCACCTGGTTTACACTATAGTTGAAACTGGAATGTTCCCAAAGGCTTGGTTCTCAGGTTTGTGCTATTGAAGGGGGTAGAAAACTTAACAAGGGGCCTAGCAGGGGGTGTAAGATCACTAGAAGCACATCTTCAAAGAGGAGTGTGGGACAAGAACCTCCAGTCCTCACTCTTTGCTTCCTTGGTTTCCATGGTGGCAGATTCCTCCACCACTGTCTCCAATATGCAGTGCCATCTCACCAGACCCAAAAATGACAGGGCCAACTAAACAAGAACTGAAACCTCCAATATTTTGAGTCAAAATAAATCTTTCCTCTTTTAAGCTAACTATCTTAGGTATTTTGTTATAGTTACAGAAAGCTGACAAAGCTCATCAAACCAAGTCAAACTCAAATGATGAGAGCTGAGATATAAGATGTAAAAATCTTAGCATTAAAAATTCTGAAGTACAGTAAGTTTGAATGCAAAAATACTTCAGACTTTTAAGTACTTTACAAAACTGTCCAGAGTATAATTACAATGAAGTTTGACAGAACGGCTAAGGTTAAGATATTATATACAAAGACCTAGAGTGAGAGCAAGAGCAAGAGCGAGAGAGAGCGAGCAATAGGGAAAGAGCACAGAACAGGGACAGTCCAGGGAAGTAAACACACCCAGCAGGACATGAGGACACAGCCCCAGCCTTCACAACTTACCAACCACTGCTGTACATTACTCTCATTTACAAACTCAGGCTCACTTAAAAACAATACTGAATTTCAACAAACTCAACCAAGAAATTTTAACACTTCTTGCACAAATATTTAATATTTTCGGGGCATTTTACAAAATCGAAACTGTAAGGAGCAAATTTATAATTGATTTCTTCATTAAAATGTTATATCTTCAAAAGAGTAAAAATTAGGAAAACCTAAACTATCAAATATTCAATTTGTGTTTATCTCCTGAAGTATACATATTATCTTCAAAATACCTGTTTGATATAAACGCCACCCCTGGAGAACAAATCCACCAGTTCTGGGTGATGTTTGCTGTTCTGGTTTCCATGACCCAGAGTAAAGTTTGTATTATCTCCCCAAGTGTAGACTTCTGTGGGGTCTGAAATGAAAAATCAGACTTTATATCTTCCTATTTTAAAATAAATAGTAGAAGTTTAGCCTAACTAAATTTAGCTACCATATTTAGAAAAACCTCATTATGTTTTAAAATTATGAACCTATTAACAAAGTATATACAATTCTAGGAAATTCTAGAAATCAGAAAATTCAAATCATGTTAAAATCTTTTATCTAGTGTGAACAATCATACCATTTACTTAGAAGCTAAAATTTAACTGCCAGCTGAGTGAAACTTCCATGTGCACTGGGCTTCATGAAAACAGATAGCTATTGCAAGCATAAGATTTCATTCTTATAAAAGCTCTCAATGAAGTGACTATAATATTATTGTTACTATAAAAACATCAACATTCCCTCTTGGGGGTAATAGTTTGGGGGTTCAGACAGGGTTTCCATGTAGCCCAGGATGACCTGACATTTACTATGTAGATGGAGATGACCTTGAAGTCCTGATCTTCCTGCTTCCACCTCCCAAGTGCTGGAATTACCAGTGTGTACTATCACTCCCAGAGCCTAATACTAACTTTAGTAGTTTGCTCTTGATAGAATCTAGTAATGACTAGGGTAAGAGTCCATTAAACAGATATAAAAAACACAGCTAAGTTTGTGATGAACCTTCATTTTTATTCTATAAGATCAAAAATGTTCTAGAATGTAATCATGACTGTATTTACAGTACAGTGTCCAGGGAGGAAAACTGAACACTACGTTCTAACTTCGCTTAGACACAAACTATGCAGGACCCCCTACACATCCTTATAAATCTTTTCTCCTTTCCTGTCAGTTCCCATTTCCAAAGTCAAAAGGACAAAGAAACTGGAAGAATAAGTGATATAACATGTGGAGGTAAGACTAGGGTGATGACTGAGTGGGCAAAAGTGCTTACACCACACCAGTGTGAGGACCCCAACTCAAAACTCCAGAACCCGCCACATAAAATCAATCTTCATTATGTTCCTTAGAATAAAATGTGATCATGATTTTTCGAACCTGTACCTTAATGGAATGTATCTGAGGAATCGTACCTACCAGTGTTGTGAAATACTACATGAGCTGGTCTATCCTTCATTAGAAGATCCAAAGGTGACAATCCTTCTTTATCTTGCATATACAGACTAACACCATGCTAGGAAAAAAGTACATATATTATTGATATACCCGAAATCAGTAAATGCATATGAGCATTTTGCCGCATCTATGTGCACCATGTGTGTGCAGAGGCCACAGAGGCCAGAAGAGAGTATCTGGTCCTCTGGAACTGGAGTTACAGATGGTAGTAAATTGCTATATGGGTGCTGGGAACCAAATCCAGGCCCTCTGCAAAAGCAGACAGTGCTCTTACCGCTGAGCCATCTCTCCAGCCCCAATAACTTTTATTTTTAAGTATCAAAACAAAATGACCAAGCCCATAAATAAACATCCTGAAAAAAAGAGAAATGACCATTATAATATATTATTATATAACAATCTCTGCTATTCACATGTTTTTTCTCTTATACAAAAGAACTAAAAAAAAAAAAAAAATCAAACCATTATTGGTTGAATGAGAGAAGAAATAGCATTCTATGATTTCTTTTATGTGTATGTGTGTGTGGTCTGTGCACATGTGTGTAGGTGCCCTTGGAAGTCAAAAGTGGATGCCAGATCCCCTGGAGCTGGAATCAACACCAGTGCTAGGCTCCCAAACTCCAGTCTTTTGGAAGAGCAGCAAGTACTCTTAACTGTTGAGCCAGCTCCCTGGTCCCTAAATAGCATTTTCAGTCAATGAACTAGATATGAAAGCCTTCTAGCATAAACTCTACTCCACTGGGGCCCAGCTTGTCTCTACCTGTGGCATCAGTGGGAAGCAGAAGCCCATTGAAGAGATAGGGCTGATATTGCTAATATTACCACAACATGTTCTTTTTAAAGTTTCCACTTGTGTGATATACATTTTATTATTATCTACTTAAATTGTTATAGCATCAGTCGTGATCTCTTATAAATCACATGTACTTAGACTATACTTCTTTTTGTTGTTTTGTTTTGTGGGGACAGGGTTTCCCTGTAGCCCCAGCTGGCCTGGAACTTGACCAGGCTGGCCTAGATCTAACGAGATCCACCAGCTTCCCTCTCCTCGGTGCTGAGACTAAAGGTGCCACCATGCCCAGCTAGATTATACTTCTTAAAATTGTGTGTACGGAGCTGGCATGATGGCTCAGTGGGCAGAAGTGCTTGCCTGATAGCCTGAGTACCATCCCTGGAACATGTACCCTCAGGAAAGAACTGATTCCCAAAGTTGTCCTCTGATGGTCACACACGCCCAATGGAGGGCCCATATCTCCCATCAAAATAATTTTTTTAAAGTGTGCTTATAAACTGTATAATCCCAGCTACTCAGGAGACTGAGACAGGAGGATTGCAAATTAAGGCCTGCTTGGACTACAGGGTGAGTTCAAGAACAGTCTGTGCAAGTTGGTGAGACAGTCTCAAAATTAAAGCAAGGAAAAGGACTGGGGATTTGGTCCAGTGGCAGGGCTCTGCCTAGCATGCACATGACCCTGGTTCAATCCCCAATGAATATACAGATATTTTAAGGAGAAATTGAAGTAATCTATACATTTTTATCTCTACAACTTAAGCATTAAATAGAATACTATCAGCCTCACTTATTTAACACATTTAAATAATGCATATAACTCCTAACAGCACATTTCTCTCTTTTAACATAATTAGAAGCAATGTTAAATTTAGATAATTTGCTTATTAAAGTTTTTTAGAGATGAAATGTACTCCTTTTCAAAATTAATGTTTGCTGACAGTTTAATGAGGCTTTCAATTATTACCCAGACTTATCTCAAGTGCACGAGCTATTCCTGCTTGTTCACACATACAGACCACCTGGGCAATTACAGACTGGGATGAGTCAGATTTTAGGATTCCAGCGGTAACATGTTAAGGTATTTGTTTCGCTTACTAAAAAACAAGAAATCTCCTCCTACCTCGTTTATGATCCCTAATAAGCTATATAGCTTTATTATATTATCAGAATGTAATACCTGATTTCCCAAGGTCTATCAATCAACAAAAGGATGGTCACCAAGTAAAACCAAGTCAGAAGTGATTCATCATAATAAATTGAAAACTGTACATTCTCCACTACTTTCAAAAGCAAATAAAAATCAGTAATTGAGGGCGTGAGCTTGGTCTTTAAAAAAATGTATTACATTTAGTGTGTGCGTGCACATGTGTAGTATGTGTGTGTGCGCGCGTGCATGTATGTGTGTATGTACATGAAAATGCCACAGTGCACATATGGAGATCAGAGGTCAACTTGCAGGAGTCCACCAACTCTTGAAAACTATTTTTGTTTTGACCATAAAGTCCCAAAGTAGCCTAAGATAAAAACTTACATCAGGTAATTTCTTTCAGAAGAGATTCTAGAGAGCTGTGAGGATTCACCTCAGTTGTCAACTTGATGGGATTGTCTGGGCAAGTCTATGAGAACAAGTTAGCTGAGGTGGGAAAACCCATTGTAAATGTAAGCAGCAATTGCCGCAGGCTGGAGGCCCAGAGTAAGAAAAGGAGAACGGTGCTAGTGAGCAGCAGCATTCACCAACATGACCAGCCACCTGTAGCTCCTGCTGGCATGCCTTCCCTCCAGGTGGACTGCAGTCCTTCCTCCTTTAAGTTGCTTCATGCCAGATACTTGGTCACAACAACAAGAAAAGTAACTAATACAATAGCATCAGTGAGAAATCAGAAGAATAAATCAACGAAGGAGGAAAACCCATGTTACAAAGTACACCACTATGGAGGACTGTGTGATCTGCCAGGATGCTCTGGGCATCTTGGACAATAAACCACAGAACAATTAGTTATGCAATCAAAAGGAAGACGTATTTACCACTGGCCCCCATTCTACACAGGCCGAGAGCTGCTCTAGAATAACAGAACTTTCATACTTCCAGTTAGTCAAGCTTGAGCACCAAGCTCTAGGGTATAAGAGATGTGCAGTGTGTGCCAGAAACAATATGCTGATTATAGCCACCCAAAGCCTCTAGAAGCCCATGCACAAATGATCATTACAGCTGTGATCCAAAGAAGCCAAGACCACATGATGTGTGGAAGCAAAGGATCTGACACTCTGATTGTTTCAACCAGTTGTTTCTTCAGGCTACATAGTTTCTGGTAGGGTAACACAGGGGTGTATTGTAATTTGCTTCTTTCAGAACTCAGCATTGATGCCCTCCTACCAGAGGGACCAGAAAAATAATCTTTTGCTTACATTAGCAAAGTTGTTTCTTAAGTGCAAAGAGAGCTCTAATACTACAATATGTTTTAAGCATTTCCTATTTTTTAATATTTTATTTATTATTTTTAAATCTGTATAAGTGTATTTATTGCCTGCATGTAGATAGGTGCACCCATGTCCTGCAATACCTGCAGATATCAGAAGAGGGCATCAGAGCCACCATGTGGGTGCTAGGAATCAAACCTGGGTTCTCTGCAAGAGTAGCCAGTGCTCTTAACCACTGCCATCTCTCTAGTCCCTAGCATTTTCTATTTTATATTTATTTGATTTTGGTCTATCTTTCCCTTAATAGAATATAAACTCAATCAACAAGGAACTCTGTCTTGTCTACTGCAAATGTCTGCCCTGGCACATATCAGATACTCAGTAAGTATCTGTTTCAACTCTGCAAATCGTGTTTCACACAACCCATACAAGCTTAGGATTCTGTTAGGTCTTGCATACCAATAGGAGAATCACAGTAAGTTCTTCTGACTAGTGAGTAAAACATCAGCATAAAAAGGCAATGGCACTAGATGCAGTGCACATGCCTGCAATCCCTCTAGGAACCTGACTGAGGCAGGAGGACTGCTAGTTTGTTACCTGGCTTGGGCAACTAAGAGAGATCTGATCTAAAAATTTAAAAAGACTGAGAGTGTAGTTTGGTCAGAGTGCTTGCATAGAATATGTAAGGCCCTAGGTTCACTCCAGTACCAAAATAAATTATATATGCTGACAAGAGATAGAGCAGAATCCTGTAAGCATGAAGCCTTAGGCAACCACGCACCTCACCATGGAGTACGGCTGTCAATAATGCCACATAAGACTGCTACCTCTACCGTAGCTTACGGAGGCAACAAGTTGCTAATAAGGTTTCCAATCTTTGGCAAGCAGAAGCTGCTAGTAAGGAGAGTGTGGGAGAATATTTACTCAACAATTTATTTTGGCATTTGATGTAAAAATTCTGTAGCTGTGAACTTTTGTCAAATGCAAATTCTCTGAAAATGTCTGCATATTTAGTTTCTTGCTGCCAATCCGCAATACTTGAGGTAGTTTACTTCAGAAGTGGAACTGACATGAAGCCCCTCCAGTGAAGATCCAGCACTGCACCCTTCCAGTTAAAGAACTGTAAGCCAAAGGAAAGAAGGATGTGCTGAGCAAGTATCTTACACTGTGAGAACATTAACCAGAAGAATCTGGTGGAAGAGTTTCACCAGTGAAGTGTACTCACTGTTAGGTTTCTAGTACTGATCAGTAAGGCTCTGATAGTAAGATGGTAAAGCTAAGAGCAAGTGGCCAAAGCACATTTCCCTAGCTTCTAGAGCAAGTACGTACCCGTACTATCATAAAATCCAAAGGGAGGAACACAAAATCCAAAGGGGAAAAGGTCCAAAATTCAGGCCAAATCATCTATGCCAACCTGAAGTGCTAAATTCTGACATGAATATCAACTCTTCAGATAGAAGAAAACCCAAGAACCATCACCATCTCAACAGAATTAGCAGTGCTCCAATATTCCAGCCAAGGTTTCAGAGGTCAGAAAGGTTAAGAGTGGAGCAGACTGAGCTTTAGCTCTTATGAACCTGGCTTTCCCTATCAAGGATAAAATAAAGGGTTACTGCGGCTCCCTGCAGAAGTGTGGGAGCAGGGAGGAAGGAGCTGTTAGTACCCCTTTCATAGATGAAACTGAGGTTCCAGTTTGGGGAATTTATCCAAGATGACTCAGAAAGTAAGACAGAGAAAACAATTTGGCTACAGAAAAGGGATATTTGGCTATCAATATATGGTAAAACTATGTTAATGAGTATGTGTTACAAAAAAAAAAGTCGTCTGTAAATAATTTTTTAAAAAGCAGGCTTTCTAATTTGTCTACAAATTAAGTCTGAGGGCAGAAAGACTTGTTTTGTTTTTATCTGGGGCCTGCATAAGCACAGAAAATGACTATATAAAACAAAATTATTAAAGTTTGAATTTATGACCTAATAGTTTTCACCTGTACTCCTTAGTGCACTGACACTGCTAGACCCCAAACACTTTATGAGTTAGCTATTCATATAACAAACCTAAAGTTAGCTGACTGAAAAATTACATATAAATTAAGCTGATTTTAACTATCAAAATTTAAAACTATAAACATTTTACTCTAGCTAAACAAGTGAACATATCACTCAAAACCATAATCCCATCCTTAACTGACGTTCAACAAGTGCTCTTGTAAACTAGTTAAAGTTTAAAAGTCATACTCTTTAAAGTACTAGAAGATATTGTTAAGGTTTCTTAACTGGACTATATTAGACTACAGTAGCATTAACAGCAAGCTTCAATGTAAGCAAAGCAAAGCTCAACATAAGCAGTGAACTGAAGCTGAAGGCCTAACCAGTCAGAAGGCTTAAGGAGCTGAGCTCTAACTAGGGTCTTCCATTCTGACCACACCACCACACAGAGCTCTCTAAGCCTCTTCAGGCTGTGTTGAATGGGGTGGCAGCAACAGGGAGGCACCAGAGGTAGATCCCTGGGTCCTGAGCATACTAGACGACCACACTACTGCCGATCTATATGCCCAAGCTGGGCCTCTCTAGTTCTAGGTGCTGCCCGATACATAAATCATTCTTTGTTCAAATAAAGTCTATCAAATTTATTCTGTCTAAAGGTTTTTTTCTTCCAAGAACAGAAAGTGCCAATAAAGTATCTGAGAATTACTTTGAAACAACATGGGATGCACACATAACATTAAGCTAACCGATATCTGTAAGTTTTGATGCATACTTAAATTTTTATATTGTAAACCATGTAAATAAATAGGCTATATGGTTTTAAATACAAAGACGAGTTCTAAAGTAAGAGACATCAAAGTACAATATATGAAAACGATTAAGAAAAGCATATGCCTGAATAAATAGCAGTTCTAAACAAACAAATGACACTTACCTTCAACAGAGACCAAAGACAATCAATATGTCCATAGAAAATGCTCCTGTGCAGCGCAGTCCAGCCTGACTCCTTGTCTTTCACAAGTGGATCCACTCCCCTCTCCAAAAGCCAGTCTAGCACGCCTTTCTTCCCACAGGAGGAGGCCAGGTGGACAGCATTCCTGCCAAAGGCATCTTTGACAGTCGCAGCACTGTAGCAGTGGCTGGCGAGGAAGGTCTTAATCTGCTTTTCACTCCCCTTGGTTACCACGGAAAGGACGTCTGCAGCGTGTTGCAGGGATCGGCATTTGGGGGTGCAGTCGGGGGTGGCAGAGTTCATCCTCACTGCTCTTACCCGTTTACTTTTTACAACAGTCACCAAAAATAATTTTTAAAAAGCCGGGACACAAAGGTGCAGTATATTGAAGAAGAATTATTGAGAATAAATGGCCCTTTGGGGGCTATAATTTAAATGTTCACAATAATCATATAAAACTATATATCTTTGTATAATATTTGGCACTTAAATCAAAAAGTTATAAAATAGCTCTACAAAGTTCATATCAAATACAAGTTCTTTGTTTAAAAAAATGCAGTTTATGAATTATTCCTGGAGTCAAGCACCAAGGGGGAGTGTGGAGGGGGCTCCCCCTCCACACGGGGTGAGCCTTTCAAATATCCATAATTGCGAGGGTGACCTGGAGGACAAAGTGACAGTAAAAATCTTACTCTCCCAAAGACTTTACAAGTAACTTCACATCCAAATGCCCTTCATTCCTATTTTTTTTAAACTATCAACTTTTCATATTTATATTCACTACATCTAAGTCAGCCATGCTCAACCCCTTTCTTCATGGGGGTAAAGTTTTCTGGCCAAAGTTAGCCTTGTTTGTACCTGGAATTCCAGAATCCTCATTATCTCCCGTATTTTTACACTCTGTAAGCTATGTCCCAAAAGTTATGAACATACTCAAATCTACTATTTTTAAGAGAATCCTCTTCCAAATGGTAACTGCCTAAAACTACATCCTAACCATTGCCATAACAATAACCAACATTCTCTTCAGTTATTCAGCTTTCACTAAATGGTAGGCCATGTGTTTTCTAAAGCATTTTATCACAGGGGAAAGCAATTAAAGTAGAACAACTGGACAGCTATCTGAAAATAAGGAACTACAGCACTTTATACCTTTGTGTGGTTTGAATGAGGTATTCCCCACAGGCTCAAGCATTTGAACACTTGATTAGTTGGTGGCGCTGTTTTAGGAAGGTCATGAAATCCCTAGCAGATGTGGCCTTGCTAGAGGAAGCGTGTCACTGGGGGCAGGCTGTGATAATTCAGAGCCCTGTCCACTGCCAGTCTGTTGCACTGCTTCCATGCCTGCTTAGAGACACACCCTCAGCTTTCTGCTCCAACACTCCTGTCATGCCTCCCTGCCATGCCAGATTCTTATTCCTCTGGAACACTAAGTCCAATAAACTCTTCCTTCTATAAGCTGCCTTGGTTATGGTATTTTATCACAGTAACAGAAAAGTAGCTAATACAACCTTAGGTCTGGATGGCTCAAACACAAGCATAAAAAAATGAAGGCACTAAATGAAAACATAAGAGTCTTTTAATAACCACAATGTAGAAAAAGTCTTAAGTATGATCTGAAACCTCAAAGTCATAAAACAAAAGATGAATACATTCAATACAAATTTTAAAGCTAGATAAAACTTGTATAGACAAAATAAAATACTTTGTAATATATAATGTGTAAAATCTTCCTAACCATATAGACTTTGGTAACAGAAAGATTCTTTAGAGAGACGTGCACAGGGAAACTTCTATATATCAGATATTTTCCACGCCCACAGCAAATCACAATGAGAGTCAGAGATCTGATAGCTAGTTACAGTTCCCCTTTTAGAAATGATAGCTGATTCCTAATTCTTTCTAACTCCTTGTCTGTTTCTATCAACCATCAGGTTTTTGATTGAACATAATACTATTAAAAATAAGCAACACCCATCTCAACACGTTGATCTGAACTAAAAAAAAGTGAAAGAAGAACATATTAGTAAATGAGTCAAAAATTTAAAAACTGCATCAGGGGCCCTTTCTGCTTTGAATGCTTTTTATTCAAATCTTTAAAAGGCTGCCACTTCTCAGTGTTTATAAACATAACACCTACCATCTTTTGAACGTTCAAGTGGACACAAACAGAGCTTTACACAAAATAACTAAGCCTCATTTTAACCTCATTTCTGTCCAATAAATGACTACCTCCATCTGACTATGAGGAAAAGGAGCCTATCTAAAATCGCACAGGAGATGGGTACTCTGGATACTGCCTATTCTTCCTAGTTCTCTCAAAATAATCTACCTAGTTCTCTCAATAATAATCTACTGTACTGTAGTACAGTACAGTCAAGACAAATGATTATTGTCTGCTGTTATAAGAATTGGGTGGGTACATCCAAAACCATGGGCAAATAACTTAATTCTCCCATTCCTCAATTCCTTCATTTGTGAAATAACAACAGCCCTCGTGGAAATATATGCCTTGCCTTCACACATGAATTTTAAGCTTTCCTTAAGGCAAGGGAGAAGGCCACTCTCCCTTGCCCTCTTCTTAAGGAAGGCCTTTCCTTAAGGCAAGGGAGAAGGTCACTCTCACAAGACACGGTTACAATCAAAAAGGAGGTTTCTTTTTTAAAGGACTTCAAAACCAAAACACCTCTTCCACAAACGTGTATCTTTATTAACTTGAATATTCTAAGCTACAGATTATGACTCAAAAATCAAGGAAAATTTCTGTAAGCCCTAAAAACATTTTAAAATATAAGAACTTACAAGTTGAGACATTAATAATTTAGTTCTAATATTATTCTATTCTGATGTTTTTCTCAAATATTCTCCTGTGCACACGACCTAGATAATTTCGTTTAATATTTTATCAATACACTACCTATCTGGTTTTACAAGAGAAAATCTGCCCAAATTTAAGGAACATATACATCTCTGGCAAGGAATTATTCCCTGTGTAAGCTAGTTTTGCATCATTTACAGTAACTAAGTAATACTGACTCAGTTCTTTAAAAGGTACATTCATAAATCATGTAAATTTTAGAATCCAAAAGCACTTTAAGGGTTTAAAATGTAGTAAGTTCATCATACAAAATGTAGGATATTGAAAGTCCTCAACAAGTTTTTCTTAAAACATAACATACCCATTAAAAAAAAAATCTTTGCTTGAAGCTGTGACACAGCTAAAGTTCAGCAAAACCCATAATATAATCCGTTGTAGAAGACACTCTTTAAAAGGGGGAAGGTTTCTTTCTGTCGTCACCTTTCATAAGGTAGACAGCTAAAACACCAGCCAAAAAAAGAATCCAATATAGAAAAGGGAATGACTAACCCAAAAAGCCTGCAGATGTGCCCATTAGGGAGATGGCCACACTATCCATTAAAAAAAAAAAAACACCATCCTTTACTACGTCTGACGAGTTTCTACTTCGAGGTATAAGAAAATAGGTGCTACTCAACTTTTGCTCCCTGAAAAATATCCCCTCTGGCTAACACTGGAACGTGTCGATGGAAAACAGGGCGGTGTGGCCAGGAGTATCTAGCACCCATCCGAATTAAAGTTCTTTGGAGCCTGACAGAACAAAAGCCTTTCTACCCTGTCTCTCCAACTCCCCAAGAGCGAGTTCCGTCCCTTACTGAAGACCTGCTTATGCGAACTCAGTAGCCCCAGCACGGCTCCGAGCAGCTAGGGCGCTTCTAGGAAGGGCTCCAAGGTAAGTGACACAGGGAACTCTCGGAACTAGAAATGCAACGTCGCCGGAGGGCGTGTCGGCAGCGCGGCAACGTTGCACCGCGTAGGACTAGGCCATTCATCAGCTGAGGGGGCGGCGGGAAGGCCGCAGGGCCCAGGCCGCTTTCCGGCTCCACCAGGAGCTCGCAGCCCCCCGCCGCGTGTCCCCTCCCAGGCCCCGCCCGCGCCCCGAAACTGAACTCCCGCGGCCCCGCAGGCGAAATGCCGCCGCCGCTGCCGCCCTCACCAGTCGCTAGATGAAAGTGCGCCGGCGGTCTCCGCGGGCTGGGCGCGCGGCCGCGCAGGAACTCATCCTCAGTGACCGCGACCAGGGACCGCCAGGGACGCCGAGAACCGGGCGGGCGGCACACTCGAGGCACCTCCAGAGACAGCCGCTACTGCCTGCGCCGGGACGGGGCTCGGGGAACCTGGGCCAAGAGCGGGCGGGACTAGGGAATAAGACGCGCGCTGATTGGCTGGGGTTCGTGTATGCCTTGCGGTGATTGGCTGGAGCCTGTCCACGAGGCCTAGCGTGGCAGCACCTCTACTGAGGCCTTTGCCTGGCGTCCCAGAGGAACTTGACCCTGCTGGCCTTGGGGCGGGGTAGCAGGCCGTCGCTGGGGATTCGTAGTCGGCTGTGTACCCTCTTGGGACCAGCTGTCAGCCAGGTAGAAAAGTCTCCCAGCGGGTGGAGACTCGGAAAGGAGGATGAGCCCGAGATAGAGGAGATAGGGACCTGGCCGAATGCCCAAGCTCCCGTCACCACGCAGTAGAAGCCGAAAGCGTTGGCATCTTGCATAGAAAAGTTTCCTTCCAGAACTCTAGCAGTGGAGTGACTGGAAAACCAAAGGTGTCCCCTCCGGGCAACCAGGCCCAGCTGCTCTGTGGCGGCCAGGGTACCCGGGTTATCTGAGTGTCACTCTCCTGGTCAGAAGCACCCTTGCCTTCTCAGATCGCTTCTGTGCGACCAGCTGCTGACTTGGGTCACACCACTATGTACCTGGAGCCAAGCTTGCAGTAGGCTCTTCTCGCTTTAACTCTGAATCTAAAAGCTGTCTTAAAAGCGAGTGGAAACTTAGGGAAGAAAGCAAGCCAATAATCAGTATGGAATAGGAAATAAACAGCTGCTGAGTGCCCGATAGGCGCTTTGGTAAACATTTTTGAGGGAGGAGTAGCATGACTCAGAACAAACAGTACTCAGAGTCTGAAGTTGGTTGAACCCCTGCCACGTTGAGTACTTTGATCGTTAAACAGAGTTAAACTCGATGTCTTTTTAGACATTGCCTGGTTTGTAGCCTTTGCAGGAAGGTAAGTTGCTAGATCAAAACCACACACCTGTATTAGGAAGGGAGAAATGAAAGCTGAGACCCAACCCCCGTGCTCTCCCAGTTCAAGGACTTTGCTTTGCTTTCCTGGTTCCTACTTTGACACATTAAAAAAAAAAAAAAAAAAAAAGTAATGAATAAACAATGACTTGAAAAGAAACTGTGTAAGGAGCCAGGCGCCTTGGCATATGCCTTTAGTTCCATCACTTGGAAGGTAGGTGGAGCTCTGTGAGTTTGAGACCAGCCTGGTCTCCATAGTGAATCCAAGCCAGTTGTGGCTACAGGGAGACCCTGTCACAAACAGCACACACACACCCCTCCCCAGAAAAAAAGGAAACTGTGTATCATAACTGTCATTCATGAACAAGTCAGTAATGGGAAAGCTAATAATGTAAATAAATGCACTGACTTAGTTCACATCCTTATCTGTCTCTTGTATCTAGGCAAGTCTGTTTTTCTGAAGCCTTAACTTCCTCATTTGCAAAGTGAGAATGAAATACATTTCGCTGTGGTGAAAATGTAACACCAAAGGTGTATAAAGTCCAGCAGAGTACCTAGCATAGAATAACACTTCATAAACATTGCTAATTTTATCCATAAAGTATTTTCTTAGCAGCTGGATTATTCCAAACATTCATTCATTCGATAGTTGCCAGGCCTCAGACACTTGTAGGCACTGGAGATGCAAAATGTGCCTAGACCTGTAATCCTACGCATAAGAAGGAATTGCAGCGTTTACAAGTATATTATAGAATGTACAGTAGAATTCATCTCACTTCCCAAAAGAATACCACTGGAATTAGTAGAAGATGACTAGATGAAGCAGGAAAGACTATTCCATTCCAAGGAATATAGAACTGTTCCTCTTTTCCCTGGAAAACGAAGTCTTTTCAAAGGTACTGTGCATTTACAGGACAGAATATTGAAATGAACCGTAGGAATGAAATACAGTGCTGAGATAACTAAAACGTCAAATACACATGGTACAATTCAATGAAACATGGAGATGTGGTGAAGGGAGAACTCAAAATCAGCCAATTTGTTTGATTTTACTCTTTTTAATTGAGTTTTTGAAAATTTCATAGAATATATCTTGGTCATATTTAGATCCCTTCCCTCCATCAAATTTCATATATATATAATGTATATTTACCAAATTTGTGTCCCCAAATGCCCTTCGATATAGGCTCATCCACTGGAGCTTGGTCAACCTACCAAGAGTCTCACCTTTAAATGGACTGACTCTCCTCAACGCAACTATCAGTTGCCAATACTTCCTCAGTTTAGGATTTCTTACCCACTTCTCCAGGTCTGCTAGGATTTTGACTGGCTTGAGCTTACATGAGACTTGTGCCTACTGTGGCCATTGCTGTGTATTCATATGATAACTGACCAGCTGTCTGGAAAACTGTTTTCTTGTGGTTTTCCAAAACTTTTGGCTCTTACAATCTTTCCACCTCCTCTTCCACAATGATCCCTGAGCCTTTGGAGGCAGAAGTGTGATACAGGTGTCTTATTCAGGAATAAGCACTCTGAAGTCTCTTGTTCTCTGCACATTGGCCAGTTGTGACTCTGTGTTAATCACCATCCCCTGCATAAGGAAGCTTCTCTGCGGAGAGTTCAGAGATTAATTTATCTATGGGTATAACAATAAGTCATTAGGAGTTAGTTTAATAGTGTATTTTGAAGAACACTATATTGGGCTCTCCCCTATGACTTGTGATCTGTTAGCCTCAGGTTCCTAGGCCAGATATGGGTTCCATCTTATGAAGCTTATCTTAAATCCATTAGAAAGTGGTTGGTTACTCCCATAGTATTCATGCCACTGTTGCACCAGTGGGCATATCTTGCCAGGCCAGTTGTTCTTGTAGCTCACAGGATTCACAACTGGGCAAGGCTGATGAGTAATTTTCTCTTCAGGTAGCATGCACAGCACTTCCTTGCATTATAAATGCCAGCCAGTAGAGATGAGGCTTTGAAGTCAGCAGCAGCTTGATTTCTCCTTGTTTGTTCTACAGCTCATGTAACTAAGTGTCTTCAGCAATAGGGTGTTGCTGTCAAGTTCTGCTGGGTAACCAAGAGTAGGGGCGATGGTGTTTAAGGGTCTATCAGACCTCTGGTCAACAGCTTCTAGAAAGGGAGTACATTCCTGGCGTTAAACTTTTGTTAGTCTATAGTGTCTAGTAGGGGTAATGTCTCCCTTTTATAAGGTAATTATTTCTGATTTCTTTTTATAATGTATATGTATATACTTTAAGTAGTTTCTATAGTGGTAGATTTCCATATGGTTTTCTCTAAGGCCTTTAGTATTAGTTACCCCCCTCTTCTTCTTCTGCCCTGCCACCCCATTCCCCACCCCATTTAACCCTTGCTGCTCTATTATTCTCCTTTCCCTCTTTATATCTCTGCATTCTACCACCCTTCCCTGGAAGCCTCCCTCTGTCCCCCTATGATTATTTATTAGTTTCCTGATTTCTCTGGATCTTCAAATTGAAACACATACCTAAGATTTCAAAGCTAGCATCCAGCTATGCGATAGAACATGGGACTTTTGTCTTTCTGGTTCTGGGTTACCTCACTCAGTGTGACTGCTTCTAGTCCATCCATTTACCTGTAAATTTTATGATTGGGAAAGTTTAAAAAAAGTTTTTTTTTAATTTACTTTATTTTAATGTGTATGAGTGTTTTACCTTATGTATGAAAGTATCCGCATGTCATGCAATGTTCACAGGGGCCAGATCTAGGTGTTGGATCCTCTGGAACTGGAGTTACGGATGGTTGTTAGCCACCATGTGGGCACTGGGGAGTCAAACCCAGGCCCTCTGGAAGAACAGCTAGTGCTTTTAACTGCTGGCCCATCTCTCCAGGCCCCATTTTTGTTAAAGGGCTACATAATATTTCATTATATAGTCATCAGTTTGGGACATCTAGGTTAAATGAAAAATGTAGGTGTTGTTAAGGGAGGAAGAAATCAGAATTAGTCATTTTGTTTGTTTTCTTGAAGTATTTCATATTTACACATAAAAGATCAAATGTACACCAGATATCTACATGTAGTGGGGTCGGTTGGATAATTCCTCATTTCTGTCACTTTGAACTTTTGTAAATTTTTCTTGCAATAATTAAACATTACTTAGATGGTTTAAAAAGTTTAGAAAATAATTGACTAGATTATTTAAAGTAAACTTATGGGAAGAAATAAAAGGAGAGATAACTTTAAAGATATTTAGAGAGTAAACCTAGGAAAAGAATAGTCCGGACACCAGGAGGGAAGGGTGGTCATGCACAGCATCTGTAATAAACTCCCTAAGTGCTGTTTTACTGAAGCTTCCTTCCAAATTAAAAATATTAATTTGGGGGTTGGAGAGATGGCTTAGTGGTTAAGAGCACTGGCTGCTCTTGCAAACCTGAGTTCAATTCCCAGCACCCACATGGCAGCTAACAACTGTCTGTGACTCCAGTTCCAGGGGATGACTCCCTCTTCTGGCCTCTCTGGGCATTGTATACACATGGTGCATTTACATGCAGACAAAACATTCATATGCATAAAAAATATATCCAAAAATGTTTTTAAGTAAAAGTATTAACTTCTCATTTTGTGTACTGTACTGTTTTTCAAGTTTGGTAGTCTAAGGAATGACTAGCTGGTGGCAGATGAGAGAATATAAAACCCAACATACAGGGTTAAAGTTATTTGCACAGTTGTTATGGATGCTGACCAACTAGAGAGACATTCAGATTAGAGATAAGGACTTGAATGCTTGTGGCACAAGCAGCACGAGTTTCATGTTTGTATGGTTTGTATGGGCTGTTATGGCCAAAAGTTCCATAGGAATGACATTTGGAGGCCCAAAGAGATCTCTTAAATGTGGGTTCTGGGTTGCCATTTCAGTTAAGAAACCCCAAACTAATGGAAACTAACCTTTTACAACAAACTGAAAGCAAAGCTGCCTGTCTTTTACCCTTAGGTAGAAATAATACCAGAAAATACACATCGTACCCTCTGATGTAGAAGGAACCACTGCTATTATACAAATATCTTGAGAGGACAGCTCTTTAAAGAAAAGAAAATAACTATTCATGCT